GCTGCTCAGCTCGGGCTGGACTCGAACCGCTGTTGCTCAGAGCTCAAACTCTTGAGCGAGCTCTTAACCAACTGAGCCACTCAGCCGGCCCTGCCCTTGCACTTTTTGCAAACTGTACAACACAGCAGAAATGAGAGCTGTCATCCTTTGTCTGGCCCTTTGGATGAAGCTGGAGGGGGGAAACTGGGGGCCTCGGGATGGGGTCCAGCTGAGATCCTGGTTTGGAAGTCCAGATAGCTTTGAAGGACTCGTCAAGAAGTGTTAGATGCCCGCTTTGCGTGTGTTTGTGTGTGTGTCCCTGTGGAAAGAGAGGTAAGTGGAGAGTTTGGAGGAAGAATCAAAATGGAGAGAGGGGCAGAGAATGATGAATCTTGAAAGAGACTAAAATGATTTTGAATTATGTGGGGGTTTTTTTGGTAATATTTTTATTTTTCTCTTGAATGAAAGAGACACCTGTTATTTAAAAAGCAAAGAAAGCAGCTTTCATTGCATAGTTACGTTTTTTTAAATAGAAGCCCCCAAAGCAAAATTGTATGATTAAAAACTGTTGGATAGAGAGGGCTTTCTGCTGCTATGACCATCTGTACCACAGTCCCCTGTGTAGTCTGCCCAGTTCTAAGGGATGTAGTCTCAGAGGTACCATTTGCCATCACCGCAGAGTCTGATACTCCACCTAGCTCCATGGCTACCAAGCCTATATGGAAAATCTCCCACACTACACATTACTGATGATCTACTATATCAGCCTGGTCTGTTTCATGCAGCGCTCAGCATTCTGGTTGCGCTGTTCTAGGATTTTAATGGCAGTAGCCACGTTGGCTCTGCTGAAAGCCAACTTGATACTTTCTTTTTTTTCCCCCCTCCCCCCAACTTGATACTTTCAAAGCAGCTGGCAACATCGCCATGGTGCACATGCCATATCCATAGTTGTGCAAATGATGGCCCTAGTGCACTATTACAAAGGTGGCTTAATGCGACTGACACACTTCAAGAATTTGATTCCACACTGATTATTATACCTTGAGTCATTGACAAGATCCCCAAGTCCCATGAAGCATATGACAGACTCAAAGAGAAGACAAGGGACCTGATTCCTTTATGCTGAGGCAATCTGCCTCCCTGAAGCACTCCTTGTTACACCAACAGCATTCCCAAAGGGTTTGCCTCTGCAGCCCTGCATTACACTTTGGAAACTATTTTTTTCCTCTATTTAAAAAAATTTTTTATTGTGAAATACACATTTTTTAGAATTAGTTTCAGCTGTACAACACAGTGCAATAGTTATACTTTTTACCCCTCGAGGTGACAACCCTCCTGTATATTCACTTGGAAACTATTTTTACAATGAAGAGCTACCATGCTGGCAAACCCATAACTAGAGGACTGACTGCCTGAAAGCAAGCTCCATGAGGCATTTAGGAAAAAGCTCCAGAAATTCAAAGAAACATTCTGCACTCCAGGACAGCATATATCCTTGAGTTGTTTGGAACTACAGGGGAAATCCTGGAAAAGGTGGATAGGAAGTCAAGCAAAAGGAGAAGAGCTGAGCCTGACTTATCCATGGAAGACCATTAGTCTTTTTTTTTTTTTAATTAGCTTGTGAAGGTCCACCACTTAATTGGCTATGTGACCTTGAACTTCAGTTTTCTCACCTGTAAAATAAGAAACCTCTTCCTGACTTCCACAGGGTTTGTGAGGGTCCAGTGAGGTAATAGCTATAAAAGCAGTTTTATAGCTTGTAAAATTTTCTGAGTAAAACTGTTAGTAATGGTTTTTCCCCAGCTACTGCTAGAAATAATGACTGTTTAACCACATTTTTAAAGTAAAAGACATTTATTGAGCAAATCAGATTGTAAATATTCCCTTAAAAATAAAATTGTCCATAATTCCACTACCTTAACAAACCAGATATTGACATTTTTGGTATATCCTTTTTTATTTTTGTTTTTATTGAGGAACAGCTGGTTTTCCAGAACTCATCAGCTCCAAGTAGTTGTTTCAATCTAGTTGCGGAGCATGGGCTCAGTGGCCCATGCAGGAGTTGAACTGGCAACGTTGGTGTTATGAGCACTGCATTCTAACAAACTGAGATAACCGGACGCCCCTGATATATATATATACCCTTCTTATCTTCAATCAGTCATAATGTTTGCATAGTTGCAATTAAAGAAAAATTTATATTTTATTTTTCCCTTCAACTTCTCGTGTGTTATGTTGCCATAGTGTTCATAATTAGCATTTAAATGACTGCATATTATTGCTGTAAATGGTTATACCATTGTTTACTCATTCCCCAACTATGGAAATTTAGAATTTAGTTGTCTTTTAAAAAAATAGATAATGTTTCAAAGAGAAACTTTGTGCTTAAAGCGTTGCTTCTTTTTCAGTTATTTTCTTAATGAAATTATTAGGTCAGAAAGTCTGAATATTTTTACAGCTCTTGTTATCGATTTACAAATTTCCTTCTGAAGGGATTGTGATAGTTAACAATGTGACCAACTACGAGTCTATCAATTTCCCCTCAGCCTCTCCATCACTGGGTATTATCATTAAAAAAATACTTATTCACTTGACAAATGCAGGGGGAACATCATGCTGTGTTGTTGAAAGGCATTTTTTAAATGACTTGTATTTAATGAGGTTTAATCAGTTATGCCCAACTTATTGCTGACACAGACCGCAACCTGTTCGGAGCAGCTGAGTGAGAGGGTGACGCCGGACCACACGCCTCCTAACTAACTACCCTAAGCGCCAGTGACCCGGTATATGGTGGGTGCAAGGCTCTTGGCACGTCCGTGGCACCCTCCCCGCCGGAGTTCAGGCGACTTTTTAAAGGAGTAGGAGCATGGCAAAAACGCAGGCGAGAAAGTGATATCGCGCAGGCGCACCACAATGCCCGTTGATTCGTGGGTGCCAAGGGATGGGTGTGGACTGGCGGCGCAGGCGCACGGGCGGCCTGGAGGGTTGAAGCGCCTGCGCAGTCGCTCTTCATTAAGCAGCAGCCATGGCAGGACAAGAGGATCCAGTGCAGCGGGAGATTCACCAGGACTGGGCGAACCGGGAGTACATTGAGGTCATCACGAGCAGCATCAAGAAAATCGCGGACTTTCTCAACTCCTTCGGTCAGAGGGCGAGCAGGGGGAGGCGGGATAGAGGGAGGTCTCTGAGGCAGTTTGACGGGGGCGCGGAGACGCTTTGAAAGGGTTCTCTCTGGGAGCCTCAGCTCCTGCTGCTTTTCGCTTCCTCCTTCAGGCCCCCCCTTCCTCCTCGCTCCCTCAACCTCAGGCTCCACTGGGCAGTTCCTGTAGGGTTGCCCTGCTCCAGGCTGAGCTCTTCAGCTTCATTGCCGTTACCCCGGATCCATTAACAAAACAAGTCTTTCCTTTTTCCAGACTCGTCAGGGCAGCTCCATCCACCTTCTGCGGCTTTTCTTCTCTTCAGTAGTCTCCCTGCTTCCTTTGTGCTACGCTTTCCTTCCAGTTCCCACTTTGCACTCAGAGTGCCTTCCAGAAGGCATCCTTGGCCGTGTCGCTGCCCTGTTTAAAGGCTCTTGATGGTTCCCTGTCTCAGTCGGGATCGAATCAAAACCCTTTAAATGCCATGCTTTTTAGTCGCCCCTTCAGCCACTTTCTTGCCCGTCGCTTCTTGTCTTCCGTGTTTGCTATGATGAAAGTGGTAGATGAGGTCAGAAGTAAGGTCCAGATCGTGTAACGCCATTGGAAATCTGTATTGCCAGTATCTAGTTGGCAGTGGGTGTTTTGTCTGCTTCTAGCAAAATCTTTCCTAGGTATGGCAAGTGTTCTTCAAGTGTTTCTTTAGGAGAACTGGCACAGGGTAGACTTTCTTATGTAATCACAAGGTGTAGAGATGGCATCGAGTGATATTTTTCCAACTCGTGTGCTTCTGTTCCACTAATTCAGCAACATTAAGCAATTAAGATTTAGTAGGGCAAATGATGTAAGAAAGATTTTTAAATGTATTATTTATTTTCTAGCTTGAGGACTGAGGAGTTCTAAGGACAGAACATTGTCAAAAAGCGTTTGACAGAATTTTATCAAAAAGCATCAGCAAGAGAAACTAGATCTCAGTGCAAGACTTAGGCACTGGGGGGAGGAGGAGGGTCACAGAATAAGAACCTGTTTCCTGCATTCAAAGAATTTCTGTCTTGAAGACGAAATAGTACCTTCAGAACAAAGCAGAACATCGTTTTTGTTTAATACATTTACATAGAAGGCGTCTAGAACTATAATGTTGATGTGTCTTGGTTGGTGGATTTCCTTACCAGGTAATGGGGGTGAAGGTAGTGTTATTGGGAGTAGGGAGTAGTATAAATATGTCAATAAAACATTGACACACATAACTTGCTACAGAGTACGTTGTAGTAGGAAATGGTATCAAGAAATCATAGATCTCAAGTATCCTGAGATTTTTTTGAGAACTATGAGTGAAGGAACATGATTTAGTAAAAAAGAAAAGTGGTTCTGGGGACAGGAGACTCAGGTTCATAGAGATTAGACTAACTGATTTTAATGAACTGAAAATATTTGAGAAATACTGACCTATTTACCTTTCTACTCAGATAGTCTGAGTTTCCCTAGAGACGTTTTAAATTCTATGCAAACTCTTTAAATGTTAGTTTTCATAATTGGTTTCTCCTGCTTTCTTGGAGAGCTAAAGTATTATTGGGGGTTCTTCACAGGATTATTTACCTATAACATTCCCTCAGAGGAAGGGCCAGATAAGAGAAACCAAAATATTGCATGCTAGGGAAATGGAATGATGATGACAGGATCATAGCTTTGGCTTAGTCTGGAGAGGCAGTGGAAAATAGTTGGAAAAATCACTGATGTGGAGAGTTTTTACTTTAAAAATCAGAATTAAAAGACTTCATTTATCTGGTAGTAGTTAATATTTGATATGTACACACAGAATATCCAAGCAAAAGATTAAGAATGTCAGTTCAGTCAATAAAGCATCTAAAATAACAAGTCAAACTGGGGATATTTTTCAAAATTTTAAAGTAATCTAGTATCTCAGTCCCCCAAATTTGGATTTGGTAATGTAATATCTTCATTTCTGAGCATTTAATTATATTAATAAACTTTTAATTTACATACATTTATCTTTGACATAAATCTTAGCATGTCACACCCACTAAATTTATATATAGTAGGTGAGTCTTGAAACTGACCGAAAATTGAAGAATTTGAGCTTAAGATTTGCAGAAGAGAAATGTCTCTTTTCTTGCTTTATTAGCAAGGGAATACCTGCTCTGAGATCTTATCAAATGTGTGTGCATCACATTTTGTGATCAGGTAGAGAATAAAGACTTCTTTTCATTTGAGATTTACAGCAAGCACTAGGCTGTGGAAATGGACACGAAGAATTCCAGTCTTTAGGAAAGGGAAGAAATGGCTTCCCTTAGCTTAGACTATTATTCTCCCTTAAAGTGATGATAATGGCTTAATGTTTGGAGTAATTAGGTGGTTTTTGAAGATTTTAGAGTGTGAATTTAGTCCTCTTAAAGAAAAGAACAATTACAAATAAGAACAGAATTATGAAGCAAGATTAAAAGTTAAAGCAATTTGATTTAGCAGTTAGGTATAAAGTTTGCAAAGACTGACAATAACATGATATAAGAGTTTAGACAAAGATCATCAGGCTGAGAAACTGGATAAATCATAAGGATACACTTTGTATGTTGTCTTGTCATTGAATGACCCAGGATGAGCATGTATGGGATGTATTTTCCCATTTTAAGCCCTTAGTGTGTAATGCCTTTGTGCTTGATGTGTATCTTTGGGGCTTGTATTGAGTTTATGATAATATGATTTGGTGGCGCAAAGATTTAATAGGCATTTACTTTGAGGAGGCATCTGGAACTCTTTGAAAATGGCAGCAATTCTATAGTCCTCACCCAGCTACAGAGCCTGTAAGCCATGTGGTTTGGAGAGGGATCTGTTTTCCCAAGATAGCTAATGACATTCTTGAACACCACTTATCCTTTGATTCCAGCTAGTGAGAATAGAGTGATGATCTCTCTGTGGTTTTCTCTTTGTGTGTTGGAGCACCACCTGAACCTGAGGACACACAGATCATAATACAGTGAGAACATTCTAATACTAGGCCTATTCTGTACTTTGAATTGGTGAAGTTTCTAAAAATAGATTGCCACAGATGATAGCTTTTTATTTTTATTCCTTTTTTTCCTGATTAAAGCTATGTACAGAGAAGTGTAACAAAAAATAGATACTGTGACTATTTTTAAATCTATTTTTATATTTAGCCAACAAATATAGCATGCCTGTTGTGACCCAGCTGTGTATCAGATGCTATGATAAAGGAATAAATAAGACTAAATGGACATAGTTATCACTCCTAAGAAATGTAGAATTTTGTTGGAGAAATAAAACTTACCTGCAAAAACAATTCAATAGAAAGACAGTGTTGATTTTTGTAGGCTAAGGCTATATACAGTGACAGTTCAGAGAAGGAGCTGTCTGCTAACTGGCATCTGTCAGCAGTGATAATGTATATAGTTGTCCCCCCTTATCCACTATTTTGTTTTCCAGTTTCACTTACTAATGGTCACCTATGGTTTGAAAATATTAAATGGAGTATTTCAGAAATAAACAATTTATAAGTTTAAAAATTGTGTGCTGTTGTGAGCAGTATGATGAAATCTCTTGCTATCTGCTCAATCCCGCCCAGGACATGAGTCATCGCTTTGTCCGGCATCTCCATGCTGTACCTATAACCCACCCGTTAGTCACTTAGCTGTCTGGGTTACCGGATCCACTGCTGCAGTATCACAGTGCTTGTGTTCAGGTATCCTTATTTTACTCAATAATGTCCCCAAAGCACAAAAGTAGTGACGCTGGCAATTCAGATATGCCAAAGAGAAGCCATAAAGTGCTTGTTGCATATCATCAGAAGGTCAGTAGTAGCCTAATGCCACATTACAGTGCCTATGTCACTCACCTCACTTCATCTCATCACACAGGCATTTTATCATCTCACATTAGCACAAAGAAATACAATAAGATTTCGAGAGAGAGAGACCACAATCATAGAACTTTTATTACAGTATCTTATTATAATTATCCTATTTTATTATTAGTTATTGTTAATCTTACTGTGCCTAATTTCTAAATTAAACTTTATCATAGGTATGTATGTATAGAAAAAAACATAATATATATAGGAATCGGTACTATCCATGGTTTCAGGCATCCACTGGGGGTCTTGGGACTCATCCCCTGCTTATAAGGGGGGACTGCTGTATACACATCATCAAGCACCTGATAAGGACAAGTGGCATTTTCAGTTAAAATCTGGTGATAACACATACATGCACTCTGGTTTTAGATTTGTCTAGCTGCTGCATGTTTTCCCAGTGTTTTGTTTGAACCAGTATGTATTTAATGGGACCTGAAATTTAACCAAAGTGTCTGAAGTTCAGCGTTTTCTAATTCTCAACATTCTGCATGTAGGCCAGTAGCATCATGTTGTTCTTGGATCCTGATTCATTACCAGATTGATGGAGCTAGAACAGAACAGCCATCCGGAAGAAACCCTCCCTCTTACCACCCTGCCTCTCTGGATAATTTTGGCTCTTTCTATGGGAAATAACAGGTTGTCAGTGACGATATTCATGCTGTTACTGAATAGCATACATGATGTACCTTTGAGCTTCTAAAAACAAGACTGAAAGAAATTTGGTCCTGTTGGGGAGTCCTAGCAGCGGCAGTGTATCCAGGAAAAGGAGGGCGCTGAGGTGCTTCTACTCAAACTAGACCTGGGAACTAGAAGAGGCAGTACTAGCAGATAAACAAGATTAAAAGGGAGAATGAAGAATGTCCAGAATAGGCAGATCCCTAGAGACAGAACAATTAGTGGTTGCCAGGGGCTGAGGGGAGGCAGAATGGGGAGCGATTACTAATAAATAGAGGTTCCGTTCAGGGATTATAAAAATGTTCTAAGATTAGATTATGGTGATGGCTGTACAACTCTGTAAATATTCTAAAAACCCTTGAATTATATATTTTAAGCAGGTGAACTTTATATAAATTATGTATCAATGAGGCTATTTTTAAAAAGAATAATGAAGAGTAGTGGTGAAGATGGATGAGTGGGAGAGGATCTAATATGGAAACAAAAAGAAAAAAATGAACTAGAAAGTGGAAGAGTTGGACTGTAAGCAAATTTTAGGAGATGTGGGGAATAAATTACAGCCCCAGAGGCTCGGCTCAGAAGGGTGGTAGCAGTGTGCAGTGTGATGGGAAAGAGGGCCAGACTAGGCAGTGAGGGAACTGGATTTGAGCTCAGTTCTGCTATTCTTTGTCCCATTGGTGACCCATGTTGTGCCCTTAACTTACCTTGGCCTTAATTTTCCCATTTATAAAATTAGTGGAGTCACACTAAAATCAATCTTTTGTTCCACTAATATACCAGAATCCATTTTTTTTTCAGTAAACATCTGTGTGCCAGGCAAGACACTAAGGTTA